CAAGAAATCTGGTGCTAAGGACTTCTCTGAAATACAATGTTATGAGTGCATGGGGTTTGGACACATTGCTTCTCACTATAAGAAGAAGAATGCCTGCACCTACTGTAAGCAGCATAGTCACATCATCCCAGATTGTCCAGTCTATCCAATTAGACCATCTAAAGGTGCCCAGAAGAAAAACCAATCACGTGCATATCAAGTGACTGAGGGCCAAACCACTGATGCTTCCTCTTCCAAGGGTGATTCTTCTACTAAGGGTGAATCTTCTGCATCTCCTGCATCTATGGATGAAATTCGGCAACTAGTATCATCTGCTATTTCCTCTGCTTTTTCTGCCATTGGCCTATTTGGTGAGTTTTCTCATTACTGTTCTTCTCAGTCTTATATTTGTATCATTGATTCCGAAGCAACTAATCATATAACAGGAGCTTATTCTGAACCCCCAAATAGCATTCCTAAATCCCATCATAGACATATCATTACTGCCAATGGTGAAAAACTAAATGTCATTGGTAGCAATGACATTTCCCTTAAGCTGTCATCTACTGCCTCTTTTCCTCTTACCAAAACCTTTCTTGTACCTAATCTTACTGCTAATCTAATTTCTGTTGGTTAACTTTTTGATGAAGGATATATACTTACTTTTTCTCATGATGGTTATTTCATTCAGGACTGGTGCACTAGGAAGGTGAAAGGGAAGGGGCATAGGTTGGGTCGTCTATTTGCATTGGAGTTCGAGAATCCTAAAGCACCAACATCTTCAACATATCTTAGTTCATTTTTTTCTGAATCTATTGTTGGACAAAGAAATAATGTTTGGGATTTATGGCATAAACGTTTTGGACATCCTCGTTTTGAAAAGTTGAAATTTTTGTTTGACTCTGGTTTTATTAAAAATAAAATTCCTTCTTTAAGCATGTTTTATACCTCACGTGTTTCTTGTTGCTTAAGTAAAAGTGCACTTTACCCTTTTCTCACACATCTATGCATGCCACCTCACCATTTGAGGTTATACATAGTGATGTTTGAACTTCATTTGTTATTTCTCGATTTGGATACAAGTACTTTGTCTTGTTTATTGATGATCGCACTAGGTATACATGGATTTACTTTCTGAGACATAAATCTGAAGTGTATCCCACATTTCAGTCCTTTCATACAATGACACGAGTCCAGTTTCAGTCTCATACGCGTATTCTCCTTTCAGATTCAGAGGGGAGAATACACTAATAAAGACTTCTTAACCTACTTGAGAAGTCATGGGATACAAGTTCAACGAAGTTGTCCAGTTACACCTCAATAGATTGGAGTGGCAAAGCGTAAGAATGGTCATGTGCTCAATTTTGTGAGAAACCTACTGCAAAAATCTCATGCACCTTCTTTTTGGGTGGAGGCTGCTAGTACTGTTGTTTTCTTGATTAACTATGTTCCCTCATCAGTTCTAGCTATAATATGTCCCCTTTTCAGAAACTGTTTAGCCATTCACCAGGCTTATCTAGCCTACATGTTTTTGGGTGTCTTTGCTTTATTCATCTTCCTCCTCATGAGCGTTCTAAGTTATCTGCTCAGTCTGTTATATGTGCTTTTGTGGGATAGTCCAGATCACAAAGGATTTCTTTGTTATGATCCCTCTGCTCGTCGTATTCGTGTTTCTCGAAATGTTGTTTTCCTTGAGCATATCTCCTCTTTTGCTATTGTTGCAAAGTTAGCTGCTCCATATGTTTCTGTCTTGCAAAATTTTGACTCACAAGATGCTTCTCCTCCTGCTGGTGTGAGGGACTTTCTTGTCTTCTCTTGTAAAAGATTATGTGCCCCAAATCCTATGCCTCCAACCTCACTTCCTTCTGGCCCGGATCCTCCTCCCACTAATGCTCATGTAAGTGATGTTCCTTTAGATTCTCTTCCTTCCACATCTCTTCGTCGTTCCTCTTATATTTCTCGACCCCCTGATCGCTATGGCTTCCCTTCAAACCATAGTTCTTTTTTTGTTATGTTATCTATCACATAGATTCCCCGCTCATATAAGCAGGCCATTACCAGTCCTCATTGGAGAGATGCAATGGATGTAGAAATTCATGCCTTATAGGTGAATGACACTTGGGATTTGGTAGTCCCTTCCTCAGATGCTTCGATTATTGGAAGTCATTGGGTTTACACGGTTAAGTTGAAATCAGATGACTCGTTGGACCAGTACAAAGCTAGGCTTGTTGCTCAGGGATACACCAAAGAGTATGGCATTGACTATGAGGAGACATTTTTTCCTGTTGCCAAGATTACTATAGTCCGTATCCTCCTAGCTTTATCTGCTACACATTCATGGGCCATTCATCAATTAGATGTGAAGAATGCTTTTCTTCATGGCAGTTTGAAGGAAACAGTATACATGAAGCCTCCTCCTAGATACAGTGGTGATTCCTCTCTTGTTTG